CCAAAGTAAAGGACCCAGATAGCATGAAAGATCTAAGACCAATCAACCTCTGCAATGTGGAGTTCAAGCTGGCCTCCAAGGTTTTGGCTAACCGTCTCAAACAAATTCTTCCGGAAATTATATCACCTAACCAAAGTGCCTTTGTACCGGGAAGGTTAATCACGGACAATATACTGCTAGCTTATGAATGTACACACTTCATGCAGAACAAACGGCGAGGCAAAGAGGGATATGCGGCGGTTAAACTTGATATGAGCAAAGCGTATGATCGTGTTGAGTGGACCTCTCTGGAGAAGATGATGCGAAAGCTAGGGTTTGATGAGAGGTGGATTGGCAGAATTATGTTATGTGTGTCCTCAGTTTCTTACAGGGTGAAGGTGAATGGAGACTACACGGATGTGATCGTGCCACAACGGGGGCTGAGGCAAGGTGACCCGTTGTCACCGTATCTCTTCCTTATTTGCGCAGAAGGGTTCTCATCTCTGCTGAATGCGGCGGAAGCATATGGAACGTTGAGCGGGCTGTGTATTTGCAATGCGGCCCCGAGCATTAATCATCTATTATTTGCGGATGACTCACTAGTACTCATTAAAGCTACACGTGATAGTGCTATGACTCTGCAGAATGTGCTACAACTGTATGAGATTTTCTCGGGACAGATTGTAAACTATGATAAATCGTCTGTCATGTTCAGCAAGAATACCGGGAGTCAGAGAAGGCATGAGGTGCTCAACTTGCTAAATATTAGAGCTGAAGCAAGGACAGAAAGATATCTTAGACTCCCTGTGTATGTCGACCAAGGCAGGAAGCAAATTTTTGAGTATCTGAAGGAGAGGATTTGGCAGCCAATCCAGGGGTGGCAAGAGAGACTGCTATCTAAGATGGGGAAGGATGTGCTCATCAAGGCTTGCGCGCAAGCCATTCCAACCTTCGCCATGTCATGCTTCGTTTTGACCAAGACCTTGTGTGAGGAAATTGGCATGATGATATGCAGATTTTGGTGGGCTAAGCAGGAGAAGAGCAATACTATGCACTGGTTAAGCTGGGAGTTACTGACTAAACCGAAGAAGGAGGGTGGCATGGGGTTCAGATACATATACGGCTTTAACATCGCTATGCTGTCAAGGCAAGCTTGGCGTATGCTAACCGCACCAGAGTCCCTCTGCGCCCGGGTCTTGAAGGCTAGATACTTCCCCAGAACGTCGATTCTAGAGGCTGTGGCTTATCCAGGCATATCATACACATGGAGAAGTATTCTGGAAGGGGTGGCGCTATTGAAGGAGGGACTAATTTATAGAGTGGGGGATGGCACTTCAATCAGAATTTGGGCTGACCCGTGGTTGAACAGAGAAGGAATGAGGACTCCAACTACTCCCAGGGGTGGCTGCTTACTCACCCGAGTCTGTGAACTTGTTGACCCGGACACACAAAGCTGGGATGGAACCCCAGTGAATGACATCTTCAGCCCTGAGGAAGCTAGCATTATACTGGCTACCCCGGTTAGAGAAGAATGGGAGGATTTCTACGCCTGGTACCATGACAGCAAGGGAGTTTTTTCAGTTAACCGGCCTACCAAATTTATATTAAGGGTAGGGACGCAGAACAGCCAGGGACATCAAATGCTTTGCCAAACCGATGGGAGTGGGCTGACATATAGAAGCTGCCCTGTCAACCAAAGATCCAACAATTCATATGGCGCCTAGCTCATAATAGCCTTCCGCTCAAACTGAATATGAAGCGTCGGGGTATCAAATGCGAGACGCTATGCGTCTGCTGCAAGCGCCTAGATGAAGATGGAGCACACTTATTTCTGAGATACAAGCAGGTCAAGAGTCTCTGGCGACTGCTGCAAGTGGAACACATACGGGAACAGATGTGCGCATGCTCTGACGCACATGCACTGATGCATACTTTACTCCAGTTGCCGGAGGACAAAAAGATCCTAGTAGTTTGCCTGCTGTGGCGCTGGTGGACATGGAGGAACAAAACCGATGCAGGCGAGAAGGTTGGGTCGATGGACAATCTTGCTGCGGAGATCAACCACTGGGCTATGGAGTCACTTGCTTTCGGCCGCCAGCATAGCACAACCACCAACCAGCACCGTATATCTGAATGGAGCAGACCTGAGGGGGATAGCCTGAAGATCAATTGTGATGGGGCATTCTTTGCGTCTCAGGGAACGGGAGGCTGGGGCTTCGTCATTAGAGACCAAGCAGGAGATGTGCGGGGCTCTGGAGCGGGGTACCTTCATCATGTGGCATCCCCGGTGCAAGCGGAAGCTGAAGCGTGCTCTAGAGCGTTGGAGGCGGCCTCCAACTGGGGCATGACAAACGTGGAAAGTGGAGCTGGATAGTCAAGTGCTTGTCAACGCCCTGAAAAGCAATGCCGCTAACCTGGCTCCGGAAGGAATCTTGTTCCGGGAGATACGGGGCCTATGCCCGGCTGAACTTCAGCACAGTGAGCTTCTCTTTCGCCCCGAGAATTTGTAATAATCTTGCTCATGGATTAGCAGCCTTTGGTGCTAGTCGCCATGTAATTCACGAGCTTTGGTCTAAGGACCTGCCGAATGATGTAAACGTCCGATTGGCCAGCAGTTTGGCTGGACCAGGTTAAGCTATGGAATCATAGTGATCCATTTCAAAAAATAGTCTTGTGTGAATATTTAATAAAATGGATGCATGCATCGTCCAGATGCAGAGGCCGAGGGTCCTCCACCTTTTAAAAAAGTCCAAATTAATAAAGTCAGTTCATGCATCACCATGAAGTATTCGACTTGCATGTTAGTATGTATCATTTCTACTATTAGGGCATGATGTCACAGCCTCGATGGATGAATGACGGACGTTCATATGTCCCAAAATATCATGTCAAGTGATGGAACCTATGAATCACATTAGGGCTCAGTCTCGCAGACGAAATGAGCAAAAGTCCGTGCGTCGCAGTTAACAAGTCAATGTTCATCCTACTACGAGACTAACATAAAAGTGCTATACAAGATTAAAGTAAATCAAGATGAGGGCTAGAGAAGACTGAATCAAAGTCAATTAATGTGATCTGGACGGTGCGAGCAATTAATGCACCACTAACTAAAAGCCAGTTGCAAGTAAATCTAGGATCGATCTGCCAATCTTGATCTCATCAAAGTAAATGCTTCGTTAAACAAGTTTGTATTTATAAGTAATTCAGGCTACCAAAATATAAGTTATAAACAGTGTTACAAGACGTAGTAGTGAGAAGTACGGACGTTCTTACGTCCCCAAAATATAATGTCACATGATGGAACCTATGAATTACAATGGTGCTCAGTCTCGCAGACGAAATGAGCAAAAGTTAGCAAGTCACGTGTGATGCAGCAAAGCGTGCACCGCGTCATGCCCCGATTCGCAGCTAACAAGTTAATGTTCGTCCTACTATCAGACTAACATAAAAGTACTATCAGATTAACGTAAATCAAGATGAGGGCTAGAGAAGACCAAATCAAAGTCCATTCATGAGATCTGGACAGTGCGAGCGATTAATGCACCACTTACTAAAAGCCAGTTGCAAGTAAATCTAGGATCGATCCGCCGATCATGATCTCGTCAAAGTCAATGCTTCCCTAAACAACTTCGTATTGATAAGTAATTAGGGGTTCCAAAACTTGTGCATTTAGGTTAAGTGTCAAGCTAGCCAGTGAAGTGGTTGTTCTCTGGAGTAAAAGAAAAGTACACAGCACAAGTGATTGTTCCCAAAACAGTGTTACCAAGCAATTTTAGTACTACCCCCTTTGATCGGTGAGCCACGAAAAAGAAGCTGTGAAAGCTCATATTGGAGATGTTCAAGACAGTGCCGGAAAATTAATGGAGCCCAGTGATCCTCCTCAAGCCAACTTGTAACAATTTTTAGCCAGACTGTAACATGGTGCCGTTTACTTTAAATAATCATCCATCCATGTAATGTAGTTTAGATCCACGTATCCTCCACCGCAAGCTAGCTAGCCTATATATGGTATCAGGAGGCGCACCATATCATATAGCAACTCACCAGCTAGCTTATTCACATCTCCAATCTTGACACCTTCTCTTGCTCCACA